CCCACCTACCCCACCCCTACTTACCAGCTCCTAGTTCGGCTACAGCTCCCTGCTGCAGCCACTGGGGACTGTCCAAATCATTGATTTGGACCTTTTAATTGGTCCCCTGATTCAATTCAGATTCAGAGATTTGGCCACCGAATTGGGCTGAATCTCCTCCAAATTGAATTACAACCCGAAGCTTCACACAGCCCTAGTGAATATTATAATGAAAAGGTCACTTCAACTGGAAGGAAGTAATGCTCCAAGATTATTCTTTTGTTTCTTCTTTCTTATTCACAAACACAGAACTGAGCATAGCTATAGTCCTGCATTTACCTCAGTCCAGAGAACTAACTTTCATTTTCTTTGATAGATTAAACCAGGGATGCCCAATCAAGATCCAGCCAATGGAACTGTGTCATCCACCGACCTGGATATTTCACAGCAGGGGAGTGGTAGCAGCATTAGGAACTGCTGCTCCCAGAGCTGTGGCAATTAATGTTGCTGCTGCTCATCCAACTACCAAATTTCTGGAGCCTTGGGAAGCCCTGCGGGTCTATGGACTGGCCCTATGCCACTCATCTGGCCTGTGGATTACCTGGCATTCTGGCTACATTGTAAATACATTAAAATTGATTTACTGGTTTTGCTTTTTTTTTTTTTTTTTTGGTATTTTATAGAAACAATGGCCACATACAATGGACACATTACACTTCTGTGGGTATAAGTGATTGGAAATTGGTCTATACCCAAAACAGAACAAAAGTTCAGCACATGTAGCTGGTTTAACAATGGCAGAACACAGTCTAAGATTTGCCTCCTCCCCATCAAAGGGCAAATGTGTGTTCTGTTCGCTACCGATCCAACCTACACAACTTATAGGAAAGCATGTAACTTAAACTGACTCTGCTTCAGACTTTTTGAATGTCTGTACCTAGCCAATGTTACTAATTTTTTAGTAAATAACACAAATCACATATATGATTTACAAAGTTCTGTGGGTCTTTTGGCAGGACTTTATGCTGTATTAACTTTCATGTTTGCATATTAAATATAGAATAAATTAAACTGAGGTGCTCAACCAAAGAACAGGCATATTAAGAATTTATAAATTGCTGTGGCATCAATGGCAGTTACAGAAAATCAGAAACCTTATTCCTAAATAGAGAAAAATGACCTTTCAGTGATATATAACATGACCTTCAACATCTGATAGTCTAGAAGATTTGCATCTTCTAGAAAGAGGAAAGAAAGCTGTGTCAAAAGCACAGAATGTTCTTTAATGGCCAAAAGTGTATAGAACATGACACACAGTTGAACAGTTCCAGTTGGGTACGCTAGAGATCATTGAACAGTTCAATGCCTACTCACCTGCTTAGGCAAAACTCATAATGAAGCATCTGAGGGTATGGACACAGGTACCTTTGCTTCATCCTGTGTTAAAGTTGGAGTGGTTTTGCTACATCTGTATCATTTCCAGCTCTTCCACACATAACAATTAGAATATTAGAATATTTAGAATATTTTCTCTCACGGTACCTACCCTGATGCTTGTGAAGTGCTTACCAGAAAAGCAACCATTATATTAGCCTCCTCTAATCTCTGTTTATAATCTTCCTGTGCCATGATGTCTTCTAGATACTAGACACTGATTAGTGATTAGGCAGCTGGTGTGCTGTGACTGGTGCTTACTATGCTAATTAAAGGCATTTGATACTCTGTGCTCTCCTAATCTCTGTTTGGTGTGTCCGGCTGTCATCTCACCTTCTATATAAACTGGAAGCTCTGTGGGGCATTTCCTGGCTTTTTGTGTGATGTGTCAACAATGGCAATATAATGGGACCCTGGTCCTTGATTGGAGCCCACAGCTGCTAGCATCCTACAATTAATAACAATATACCTAAAACCGAACTAGGAACCAGTGTTAATTCAACATTAAACAGTTTCACGATTGTGTCTGAAATTCCAGATGGCAAAAACAAACCATAAGGTGAATAAGCAGAAAAGGCTTACACTGTCCTCGTCCACTTTGTACTTTCCCTGAAGTTATTATAATGGCTAGGGACAGAAGTTACGCATAAACCAGTTTAAGTGATCAGAAACTGGTTTAAACCTCTAACAGAATAGAAGTTTAGTGCACAAAAGCTAGTTTTGAAATGGCTGAAACTGGTTTAAGATAAACTTTGTTGAATGTAGTATCAGACTTAACTGATTTAGGTCAAACGTGTTTATGGAACTTCTGTCCCAGACCCCTTCCTGGTTCAACTTAAATCAGAGTCTCCAGCATCCCAGCATTTTGCAGGCCTGGGCTGGGCTGGGCTGTCTGCTCCAGAGAGCAGGGCTGGCCCTGCCCGTCTGCTCCCTAGCTGAAGCAGTGAGGGCTGGCTCATTGGCCTCACCGGCCGGTTCACTAACATCCCCTCCACACCCTCCACCCCCCGGCAAGCCCCTGCTGGAATCTAGGGCCAGGGAGGGGGGTTAAACTTTCCTTCCCTGGAGTACAGAGTTGCCCTGCCCTACTTACTTAGTGCTGGTTGCGACTGTGGACTACAAACCCCAGAGGCACTTGGAAGCAGGAAAAGGAAGTGATGAGCAATCCTGCAGAGTCCTGCTGCTGTGAGCCCAGATTGCAAATCCCACAGACCTCAGGGGCAGCAGGATGATAAAGCAAATGCACAGCTCATGCTGGCTATGTGCCAGAGAGCTGGGATCTAGCAACCCCTGGCTTCTGGCTTGAGCCACTGCAGGCATGTGGCTGCATTTCCTGAAGCAAAAGTGAATGTCTGTTCATTTGCTTATGGGTTCAATCTTTGCAGCTTAGATTAACCTGCAAAAACTGAATCAATTCAGCTGCGGGTTTTTTGACTGTCTGTACTTAGCCAATAAGATAGCTTTAGTTAGTGAGGTTAAATACCAACTAGAAGAGAACCTTATCGCTCCTCTCTGAAATGAAGAGATAAACCACCAATAAAGGTATGTGGTCCAAACCATGTCTATACCTTTTTCAGCCTGTTTTTGCTTTTTGCATCTCACACATCATCCTTTCCAGTCAATATTCCCTATGTTATGTATATACTGTCTTATTCCTCCCACTCCACCGTTCTTTTGTCTTTCTTCTTTGCAGTCTATTTGCTAGAACGTTACTCAGTTACTCTTCTGAAGGGCCATGTCATGCATCACGTTTAGGCCGTGTTTTATTTAGATTGTAGTAAGCATTACTATGAATTAAAGTGTTCCATGCAGCTGCATACTGAGAACACTTACATGTTCATTAATGTGCCATAATTACAGTGCATTAAGTTTAGTATTCCTGTAATAACAGATACTAACTTAATGCGCCGTAATTGGCGCTACTGCACAATAGCGCTAATGAACGCTTTTTGTGTGATGCTTAATGCCCATTGGACTAATCTACTGTGCATTACCTCATTAGCACAGTTTTTGCCAGCTCCACTAATGCACAATAGAATTAGTCCAATGGGCATTAAGCATCTCATATAGATGTACCCAGTAATGCTTACTACAGTCTAAATAAAACACATCCTAAACCCTTGAAGACACTGGAGCACTGTGGTGTGCTGTAGGGGGCTGGGAGTGACAAACAACTGTTTGTTGGTCTGAGCTCCAGCACCACACTGGAGCCAGTTCAAGCCTTGTCAGTCCCAGCTGTTTGTTGGTCCCATGCCCCACCTGGAAAGGGAATTTTTCAAGGCTCTGGTATGGTGCTGGGGCTGGGACCAACAAACAGTACCGGATTCTTTTTATTTTATTACCTCTGTGGAGCAGCCAGACATTAGCTCAACACACGTTAGATTATATGATCTGGAGATACTCCTTGCTGGAAACATCTTAATTTTGCTATGCAAAAATGGAACTTGGAACATGTTTTACTGCTTGAACTCTCGGACACTAGCATTTTAAGTGCAGTTAACACATCATAAGTGTAATGTGTGACAAGGCCCTAAGACGACACTTATCTATATAAATAACACATTAACGTTCCCCTTTCTAGAGAAGTTCATCACTGTACCAACTTTCTTATTATAATACCTTCTCAATATATAATATTATAATACTTATATATACTATATAAACTATAATACTATCTCAGCATTCCTAAAACTGAGAGATTTTGGCTCATCCAGAAAATCCTAGATCTAAACAGGGGTGGGGGCGGTGAATATCAACCTGGATCTGAAGACAGAGATGTACTTGGTAGCATGGATCTATCTCAAATACGCCTATAAAAAATATATCTGTCAGCCCTTGCAGCAATTCTTGCTGCCTTGCATGACTGGCTTTTTGATTTCAGGATTTCAGTGATGACTAAAGACAAGGTTGTTACTAATGTGACCTCACTCAGGAGAGGCATCTTCTTTCCTAGCTGCTTCTTTGGAAAGCAATTCTTTTCTTCTTGTTTCTGGAGTCTGCAATTTTGGAGTCTGTGCATTCTTTAAAGCTTCCACAACTCTCTTAGGACCCTCTCCAGGTAAGAGCATATGTTATCTCAAAGGGGTTCTCAGGCTTTTATTACATCCTGACTTCCTTCTGTAATTCATTATTTGCCAATCTGCCTCCTGCTTCCCTCAGGCAATTGCAGCTCACATTGAACTTCACTGTTGAAGCTCAGATTTCTAAGCATGTTGCTTCTGTCATGGGAGAATGTCTCTGGCTCCATCATGGTGAAGTGGCAGTTTCATTCTGAAATTAATTTTCCTACATACAAGCCTTCACTATGTCAGCCTCACTTCTCTCTTTCTTCGTTCACTCTGCCTTGCCTTGTTCAGGGTTTTGGGGTTTTTTGCTCCCCTTGACAGCACTTGCTTTCAGAGTTTCCTTTCCACCTCCTCCCACTTTTTGGTAACTTTCCATTCTTTCTTCCTGCTTTTCTCTGTTCCTTTTTCTTTAGTTGTTCTTACAGGAACTTTATCCCTATGCAGAAGCCCAGCATGAGGCCTGCATGGCACTTCAGACCTGCTTCAAGGACTTGTTCTGACTCTATTCACCCACTGTGAAAGACTAACATAAATGCACACAAACTTCTTAGAGGTGACAAGAGAATCCAAAAAGCTCCATGTTTTGGAAGCAACCTCTGAGTAAGGATATTTATTCTATGGTGCACTGAGCACTGCTAGAAGATGTCCAAACATGGTGGGGAAGCTTAACTTCTGTAGGCTTAACTACAGGATAATAGCACAAGGCAAGGTCCTGGGCACTACCCCTTTGGGGTGCCCTTCTGGTGCAAATGAAACAAAGAACTGAGATTAAATATCCAGCTGGGATTTTGCTTTTCCAGATGGCACAGAAATGATGTGGCCAGCTCTAGCCAGTCATGGTGAGCCCGTGCTGAGAGAAAAGAGGATGTGCTTGAGATCCACTCATTGGTGAACCTGGGCCACTAGGAAAACCCAGCACAAGACAAAGCTGTTCCCGTCTGGCAGAATCTGAGGGTGAGTGATTTTAGAAAGTCATGTGCTTCACTTTCAGGGGTGTTGAGCACAGTCAAAGATGCTTATGGATGCCTTTTGCAGGGAGCTCAAAGGCTATGGTGATCGGTATAGTACAAAACCTACAGAGACTAAATGGAAGAGAGAAATGGGGAAATCACAGAGTGCTAAACCACAATCAGACATCCGAGGAGGCTTGAAGTACTATCAATAGATGCTCTGTTCTTTATTATG